TCTACCGAACAACCGCACGAATGACTGGACCACATGGGAGCTGGAGTGTGCCGGCAATTAGCCTCCCTGAAGCTGTGGTTAACCACAGCTTAATTGACGATTGCTGGGTGGCCGCCATTCGTATCCCGAACAGGAGGTCATGGCCATTTTACACATGCGAATGCACAGCGGTGTTCGACGCTTAATTCATGGAACTGAAATCGGACACAGTTTTGCGCGAACGCTGCTGAAGCCGCCGACCTCCCTTCTTGGTCAGTGAAAGTGCACCAATGGCCCGGCGTTCGGTAGTTTTACTGGAATGTGTTATACCCCAGATAGGAATCCCATGGAGCCCATTCGCATGAAACTGACTGTGTAAAGACTTTAGTTCCATGGCGATTAAACTGTATTCGTGTGGTGTGAGTGCCATTCGCTTAATAATGTGCGCTCAGACCTGAGCTATCTGGGGACATGTTAAATGTATAAGTTTATTGTAATGTGTCTTACATAGTGTATTTTAACAGTAATTCGTGTTTTAGTATCCCCACGTGCATAATGGCGATTTGCCTTTGTCTTGGGAGATAATTGAATTACTTCTCAATTATCTCCAAGGCAGAGGGGAGGAAGCCAGGATGCATTGTGGGAATATAATGTGACTGTGTGTCCTATTTGTCTACTTGTCTGTCCCTTGTCACAGTCTCCCATTTGGTCCCCTAGGGGAGTGTCCACCAGGTGGGAGACCTGCATAAATACCTGCTGGACAGGTAGCCCTCATTAAAGAGACCACTGCTTGACCCGCAACACGGAGCCTTGTCTCGTCTTTGGGGGGATTTACTGAATGCTGATAGAGACTGATTGCTAGCAGTGTAAGCCGCTTGGATGCTTTTCCTATTCGTCTGCTAGCAGCGATTCGTATGGTTCCAGTTTGTGTGTTTGGAGTGCTATATTGGATGCCGTTTGGGAGTTTGGAGTATTCACTTATTGGCGGTTCATGAGTTTGGTGTGTTACAATAGCTGTGCCTGCATCTCTGGAAAGGGGGACTGTAACGGCTACCCTGGTGTAGAGAGGGTACCAGCCGTTAGGGACATCCTTTTCTTCCCGGCAGTCGCTGTGTAGTGATGGAGTCGCCTATTCCCTTCTGCTGGATCAAGAGTGGAAGCCAGGTGCAGCTCTGAAAAGAGCTAAGTGATTCCCCTTTCAAGAACGAGACGAGGCTACGTTTTGAAGGGTCAAGAAGAACTGAGGTTTAATGACACACACTCTGCTTTTATGGGATTCTGCCCATGCAAGGGAGACACCCACATAATTAGCAGTACAACCAATCCATACAATATACATTCGGTAAATTCCCTCCCCTCAGATAACTACATAACATAATTAAAAAAGAACAGTTCTTCCCCAAAGTTTGGATGTACCCCAAATACTTGGGGTACAGACATAAATCTCCCCAGATAGCTTATATTTCAGGTACCAACATATGAAAAAATCAGCTCAATCGGTTTAGCCGTTCGGGAGATATAGGACTTAGAAGTTTTGACCGACCGCACGGGCACAGTAGCCGAAAACAGTTCCATGAATGCTGGCCCTGCAGTCAGTCTAAGAACGTGGGTAAAAACTCCCGAATGGCCGGCCATCCGTATACCATCCTGGGTTCGCTGAAATCCCCATCTGCTGTTAATTCTTTCTACCGAACGCCCGGTCGTTCGATAGGTTTGGTGATGTTTTCCCGAAGGTATGGAGGTCTCAGCGGTGTTCGCCTGTTTGAGTGTCCAATTTTAGTTCAAGACATTCATCGGCAAACACCCCTGTTCGGGAGTTAAAATGGCCGCGAACACGTGTAAGTCCCGAAATGGCAGCTGAGCTTACAGTTCCCATAGCGTTCGTGCGGTTGATTCGAATAAAGTGCCCATCAACCAGGGAGGTAAACTGGCCATAATTAGCAGTCAGGGTGGCCTGTTAAGGCAGGTAAGCATTCGCATGGGGTGAATGCTTACAAAAATACCGAACGGCTGTATAATCCATTTGTCTTTTGCAGTCATACTGGGCTTGTTGTTACAGGGACGATCGCCCCTTGTGTGCAAAACGTTCCGTTACACATGTGAATCACTATTACCCAAGAATGAATCCAAACTACCGAACACCGGACCACCCTGGTGTGCAATTAAGTGATACTTTACCTCCCAGCTCTATTTCAGCCGTTCGCATGGTTCAGCACAAATTCTTTGTGCTAAGCATAGGTGGCCGCCATTTCGGGACTTTACACGTGTTCGCGGCCATCTTACGCACAAACAGCGGTGTTTGCCAGCAATCGCCTGGAACTAAAAACGGATACGCAAACAGGCGAACACCGCTGAGACCTCCAGGACAACGTAGATTTGTGCTGAAACTACCGAACGACCGGCCGTTCGGTAGAAAGACTAAACCTTATATGGGGATTCCGGCGAACACCAAGATAGCTGTGGATGGCAAGGGTTTCGTGGGGTTTTAATGCACGAACGGAGACCGACCGCAAGGCCAAAACTTGTGGAACTATTTTCGGCTAGAAAGTCTGTGCGGTCGGTCAAAACTTCAAAGATCCATAACTCCCGAACCCTTTAACCGAATGAGCTGGATTTTGGATATGTTGTTCCCCTGAACCAGAGCTATCTGGGGATACTGGATTTAAAGATGTACCCCCTGTTTTTGGGGTACATCCAGAACTTGGGTAAAATTGTGTGTGTGTTAATTATGTTAAATGTTTATCTGAGGGGAGGAGACGTGGGGGTTGTACCATGAATGTGATTGGTTATTGTGTTAATTATGTAGGTGTAGCCCTTTCCAGGGCAGCATTGCATAAAAGGAGACCCCTGTCAATAAACATCAGCTCTACTTGATCTCGTCTCGTTCTTGGAAGGGGATTTATTGTACAGTTACTCTGCTCCATTTTACAGTGATGCCTGACTCTACCCTTGGATATCGTGGATGAGGATAAAAACTCTATTACTACACAGCAACTTGCCAGGAAAAGGACGTCTCCAACGGCAGATACCCCTTACCACTTGGGTAGCCGTAACATTGGTGGCAGCGGTGGGATGGTCCTTTTCATCCTCAAAGCAAGTGCTGAATGGAGTCCCAGTACGCTAGACTGAAAAGACCCACACTGAAAGATCTGTTGGAAACCAGGGGACGGAGTGCCAGCAACCGACCACGGAGAGAGCTGATAGCTGACCTACTGGAGCTGGACAAAATGGATAGATCCATGGAGGTCGCTGAACAACCTACTCCTGTCAGCGCGGAGGATGACATTACTAGCATTGTACAGCGAAAGTTACTCATTGTGACGAGACCAATCTCGCCACATTGCATTGGAGAAGCCTGGTTGCTCGCCTGTTGCCTTTGGACTATGGCCCCATGTTAAAAGCCTTCTTTTCCCCTGCAGAAAAGGCTTATTTAACCGGATGCCTGTTCATTCGGTAGTTTAAACCATATGAACTGCATTACCCCAGATAGCCATCCCGTGGAGTCTATTCGGATGGAGAACAGACTTTGTGAACACTTTAACTCCACGGCGATTGGAATGTGTGCATAGGATCTGAGCGCTATTCGGTACTTTTGTGCGCTCAGATCTAAGCTATCTGGGGATAGGTAGAATGTATATGTTTTGTGCAACAGTTGTAACTTTATACATTTTTATGTCTTTTACTGTCTTTTGCTGCCATGTGGTTAATGGAGTTTTGCCGCTGTGCTGGGAGATAATTGGATTACTTCCCAATTATCTCCAGGACAGAGGGAGGGAAGTTAGGATGCATTGTGGGGAGGTTTTACCTCTGTGTGTCCTAAATTGATACTTGTCTGTCTTTTGTCACAGTCTCCCATTTGGTCCCCTAGGGGAGTGTCCACCAGGTGGGAGACCTGCATAAATACTGGGCAGGTAGCCCTCATTAAACAGACCACTGCTTGACCCTCAACACGGGGGAGACAGTAAGCCCCACAACTGTGCAGATGGGACTGTGGTCTCTGCACGTCCAGCACAGGGGGTAGGGACGGTCGGTTCTGCCCCCCAGCAACAGGGCTGTGTAGCCAAAGGGGAGACAGTTGGTCTCCAGCAGCAGGGCTGTGTATCTAAAGGGGAGACAGTCGGTCTCCAGCAGCAGAGCTGTGTGTCCAAAGGGGAGACAGTCGGTCTCCAGCAGCAGGGCTGTATATCTAAAGGGGAGACAGTCGGTCTCCCCCTCCAACAACCAAGCTTCAACCAGGCTACCCTTCCAGTAGCGCTGGCAACAGCAACCCACCAAGTCAGCATGCCCATACCCAGCACAGCCGTGGTGAGGCACCTGGACATGGACAAGCTTCTCCTCTACCCAGGTGTAGTAACCATTTATTGTGGGTGGGCTGTACTGCTGATTGTGTTTTGTGGGTGGGCTGCTGGATTAACAAGGGCACTGACCGGCAGGAGGTCAGATACCCTGTTAGTCTGTTTGGAAAAGGGGAGAGAAATTGTAATGGACCATTTCAGCACACAAGGGGTTAAAACCATTTAGGCGATATTCCCCTTTTCAGATGCACAGGCACAGCTACTGCAGAACACCAAACTCCCGAACTGAATACAAGGGAATGCTTCAAACTCCCGAACTGCATACAAGGGAATGCTCCAAACTCCCGAATTGAAACCTCACGAATAGCTGCTAGCAGACGAACAGGAAAAGCACCCAAGCGGCTTACACTCCTGGCAATCAGTCTCTAACAGCATACAGTAAATCCCCCCCAAAGACGAGACAAGGCTCTGTGTTGAGGGTCAAGCAGTGGTTTGTTTAATGAGGGCTACCTGCCCAGTATTTATGCAGGTCTCCCACCTGGTGTACACTCCCCTAGGGGACTGTTACAAAAGACTCGAATTGACTGTGTTACTGTTAATACCGATTGCTACTGTTACCACTCTCTGCGTTTAAACCGAGGAAAACACGAATGGATTACACGAACTCTTATAAAGACCCCATTCGTGATACGAACGAGAGACCCCCCCAAATGCTGGCGTGTGCAGCCACTTAACCTCGTCACCCCGCAAAGTACCGAACGGGCGACCACCTGACCAGCTGAGTGTGGCGGCCATTAACCTTCCAGGCGGCTGCGGTCTGCGGTTAACCACAGACTAATTGATGGGCCTGGGGGGGATCGACGTTCGCACACAAAGCACCGAAGGGAATCTGCCGAACAACCACACGAACGGAGACCCCCTACAGTGGGTCGCGTGGCGGCAATTAGCCTGTGGTTTCTGCGGTTAACCGCAACTCAAGTACCATGCTACCAGGTGGTCCTCATTCATTTACCGAACGAGTTCCACTACCAGACAGACAGTGGGGCTTCGCATGAACTTATACCCGAGTTTAGTTCCATGAGTTGGCGGCGAGGTCCCGCTGCCCGCTAAACCGTCTGAAAACATGGCCGCCATCAGAGACTCACGACTCAAAATACCGAACGGACTTTATACGGCAGAAATAGTCCAGTCTGTTCATGGGATTAGAGCACCATTCGTATGGTTAATGTACTCGAACGCGAGCTATTAAATGAATGGTTGAATGAGCTGTTTTCCTCTATTAATGTTAAAGTTATAGATTTTTATGCAGTTTTCTGGGACATAATAAAACGTGGTCTTTTGTGCGCTTGGAGATAATTAGATTGTATAACCGTTGGCCTCTTTATCTCCAAGCTGGGCGGGTACTAATTCAAATGATACACTGTACTGTAATTGGTTACCTGTCTGTACTGTACCTGTATTCCCCCAGGTCCACAGGGGGCTGTCCTTGGACCTGAGGAATCACATAAATTGCCATGTTGTGTGCCAGTAAAGCTAGTTCGTTTTGACCCTCAACTTGCAGCCTCGACTCATGTTGTAGGTATCCGGGATATTGATGCTTATACCGTGTTTGAGATATTCTACACTTGCAGCTTATTACCAAAGGACCTCCGTTCGACTCTCTACAGCGGGAACCAGGACCTCTAAGCGATCAACTCCCCTGCTAGACCGGGGGCAATCATAACAGGGACCAAATGGGAGACTTACAAAAGACAGACAAGTATCAATTTAGGACGCACAGAGGTAAAACCTCCCCACAATGCATCCTAACTTCCCTCCCTCTGTCCTGGAGATAATTGGGAAGTAATCCAATTATCTCCCAGCACAGAGGCAAAACTCCTTTAACCACATGGCAGTAAAAGACATAAAAATGTATAAAGTTACAACTGTTGCACAAAACATATACATTCTACCTATTCCCAGATAGCTTAGATCTGAGCGCACAAAAGTACCAAATAGCGCTCAGATCCTATGCACACAGTCCAATCGCCGTGGAGTTAAAGTGTTCACAAAGTCTGTTCTCCATCCAAATAGACTCCACGGGATGGCTGTCTGGGGTAATGCAGTTCATACGGTTTAAACTACCGAATGAACAGGCATCTGGTTAAATAAGCCTTTTCTGCAGGGGAAAAGAAGGTGTGACGAAGTGCCCTTCGCCACTTGGTCCTGGAGAGGCCTACTTGCCAGCCTCCTCCCCTGTGACTATGACTCTTTCATCTATCTGGCTTTAAAGTCTACCTTCAGACAGACTATTTATGTAGGCTGCTTTATTTATCCTATGTTTTAGTCACCCTGTACCCATTATAGGTGCAGGGTGTGTGTAATGTAATTGTTTATAGTGTGTGTACTGTGTAATGTATTGCCTGCTCTCTTGTATTGCTGAGGTTTGCTACCAACTAGGTGGCTTTGGCTATGGAGCTGGTCTAGTGCCCTCTGTTGGTAGCAACAGCAATATGCACTACCTGAATTGCAAGACTGGTTCATTTGCATATTCGGGTAGATTTGCATATTGCTAATTCTGCAGGCAGGTGAGATATTTACTGTTAAATATTGTCTCCCCCCACCCCTTTAAAAATGTGCCATTGTGTTGTGATAAGTCACTGTGTGTTTCTTGATATGGTTTGACTGTTTGTGATTTTATTGAGGTTTCACAACAATGTTATTGTGGTGACTGTATTGGCTGGTCCCAAGGGAATAAAGGTTTTGACAGTTCTTCTTGATCCCTCTAAATGTAGCCTTGTCTCGTTATTGGAGGGAGCTGTTATAATCACACTGGGGATTGCTATGCTCTGCATGCTCCCCTGAGCTTGAATCACTTAGCTCTTTTAAGAGCTTGTTCCTGACACGCTCTCCTTGGAGGAGGGGTCTTCACCACACAGTCCTGGATGCTGGAGGTTCGTACAGGGTGGAAGGAAGAGTTTTTTCCCACACAGTCCTGGAGGACAGAAGCTGATCCAGGGTGGAAGGAAGACGGCGAGACTCCAGTCAAGATACGGCGGTTGCGGAGTCTGCAGTGGTTGTGGTGTCTGCTGCAGCGCTTGGAGTCCTCAGGAAGCGCTAGGAGCATCCGTCAACGGAGGGTACTCGGTCGGAGTACAAGGAGCTCTGTCACATTGGTGGCAGCGGTGGGATGGCGTCCTAGTGCGAGGAGAAGCAGCTCGGAGACACTGGTATCGTATGAGAGGTTATTGAGGGCAACGCTAGCCACTGTGCAGCGTCCCTAACTACAGCAGCATGGAGCAGGGATGGATAGAGCCCTGCGAAGAGCACCTCAACATGATACGTCGCTACGAGGACGACGCTTACATTGAGGAGGTAAAGAGGCGGTTGGTCTGCTATGGCCCAGACCTTTCGAACGAGGTGGTCCACCAAGTAATGCGCCAGTTGAGTGCTGAGAACAGTGCGGCAATGGCCTTTGAGCGACAACTGTGGAGGTTGAGGATATGGACACCTAGTCTCCAGCGGCAGTGCAAGTTACAGGGAGCCGAAGGTGTCGTCCTTCCTCCCCAGCGGCAGTGCAAGTTACAGGGAGCCGAAGGTGTCGTCCTAACTCCCCAGCGGCAGTGCGAATTCCAGGGGGCCGAAGGTGTCGTCCTTCCCCCCCAGCGGCAGTGTGTCCTACAGGGAGCAGAGACAGTTGGTCTCTCTCCCCAGCGGCAGTGCAAGTTACAGGGAGCCGAAGGTGTCGTCCTTCCTCCCCAGCGGCAGTGCAAGTTACAGGGAGCCGAAGGTGTCGTCCTTCCTCCCCAGCAGCAGTGTGTCCTACAGGGAGCAGAGACAGTTGGTCTCTCTCTCCAGTAGCAGGACAACGTTATGGGAGTGGAGACAGGCGGTCTCCCTCTCCAGCGGCAGCCTGTGTTTCAGGGAGAGGAGCACAGCACCCTATCTCCCCAGCGGCAGCTTACCCTACCAAGGGCACACACCAATCTCCCAGATGGCGCAGAGGGGACCGTGGTGTCTGTGCCTGACCTACAGGGATGCTGGACAGCCTGTCCAGATCCCCAACTACCCTCACAGGGACAACAGGAGGAGGGGGTAAGTACGAATTCCCCTCCCCAGCTATCTCCTAACTTGGCCCCAGGGTTAACAGGGGAGATGTTAACCCCCACTGACCCCCACGTTCCCCTGGCTACTGAGCCGGACTATGTCCCAAGCCCCCCAGCGGAAGAGCTGGCAGCTGGGCAGAGTGCAGTCGGCCTCTGCCCTCCCTTTGTCCCTTGTCCAGAGCCTGATGTCCTGCAGGCTATACCAGCAGAAGAGCTGGCATCAGGGCAGACTGCCGCTGGCCTCTGCCCTACCGATCCCCTTGTCACAGGACTGGCCTGCACCCCCCTCCTCCCAGCAGAAGCGCTGACATCAGGGCAGAGCGCCGCTGGCCTCTGCCCCTCAAGTCCCCACAGCGTGGTGCCCCATCACCCCAGAGGAATACCCAGGTGCAGTCACTGTTTGCTATGGGTGGGCTGCTCTAATAACTGTTTGTTGTGGGTGGGCTACTCTGGCACTTGCTTATGGTCGGTGGGTGACTCGACTAACTTAGGCACTGACCGACAGAAAGTCAGGTGCCTGGTTAGTCTTCCCCCCGAAGGGGAGATATGTGACGAAGTGCCCTTCGCCACTTGGTCCTGGAGAGGCCTACTTGCCAGCCTCCTCCCCTGTGACTATGACTCTTTCATCTATCTGGCTTTAAAGCCCCTAGTCTACCTTCAGACAGACTATTTATGTGGGCTGCTTTATTTATCCTATGTTTTAGTCACCCTGTACCCATTATAGGTGCAGGGTGTGTGTAATGTAATTGTTTATAGTGTGTGTACTGTGTAATGTATTGCCTGCTCTCTTGTATTGCTGAGGTTTGCTACCAACTAGGTGGCTTTGGCTATGGAGCTGGTCTAGTGCCCTCTGTTGGTAGCAACAGCAATATGCACTACCTGAATTGCAAGACTGGTTCATTTGCATATTCGGGTAGATTTGCATATTGCTAATTCTGCAGGCAGGTGAGATATTTACTGTTAAATATTGTCTCCCCCCACCCCTTTAAAAATGTGCCATTGTGTTGTGATAAGTCACTGTGTGTTTCTTGATATGGTTTGACTGTTTGTGATTTTATTGAGGTTTCACAACAATGTTATTGTGGTGACTGTATTGGCTGGTCCCAAGGGAATAAAGGTTTTGACAGTTCTTCTTGATCCCTCTAAACGTAGCCTTGTCTCGTTATTGGAGGGAGCTGTTATAATCACACTGGGGATTGCTATGCTCTGCATGCTCCCCTGAGCTTGAATCACTTAGCTCTTTTAAGAGCTTGTTCCTGACACGCTCTCCTTGGAGGAGGGGTCTTCACCACACAGTCCTGGATGCTGGAGGTTCGTACAGGGTGGAAGGAAGAGTTCTTTCCCACACAGTCCTGGAGGACAGAAGCTGATCCAGGGTGGAAGGAAGACGGCGAGACTCCAGTCAAGATACGGCGGTTGCGGAGTCTGCAGTGGTTGTGGTGTCTGCTGCAGCGCTTGGAGTCCTCAGGAAGCGCTAGGAGCATCCGTCAACGGAGGGTACTCGGTCGGAGTACAAGGAGCTCCGTTACAGAAGTCTTTTAAAATGGGGCCATAGTCCAAAGGCAACAGGTGAGCAACCAGGCTTCTCCAATGCAATGTGGCGAGATTGGTCTCGTCACACTCATGTACCCAGCAACTTCCGTGGAACTAATTGAACGGCTGTTCCTGGAAACGCGAAAGGAGATTCAAGACAAAATGGGATACGAAATTGAACTGGTAAGAGCTAAACATTCCATTAAATCGACAGTTCATACTCCCCCACCCGCTGCTACGGGAAAGAAAATACAGTTTACTGCGTTTAAAGCTTTTGTGGAAAGTGAGGAAGAAATCGATGGATATTTGGCTGACTTTGAGAGGCAGTGCTCACTACACCAAGTACCACCAGAGCAATGGGTCACTATCCTGGCTGGGAAATTATCAGGAAAAGCAAATGAGGCTTTTCGGGCACTTACTGCAGAGGATATATCACAGTATCATTGGCCCTCTGGCTTCGGCTTATTTACCTACGCCTGTTGCTGCTTGTCCCGTGACCACCCGCTCCCAAACCCGTATCGAAGATGACCCTCCAACAAGCTGGGAGACCCAGGTAAGCCAAGAGCCGACACTTAGCTCCAATACAGCAGGGAGACCCATAGCTTGGGACACCCCAGAGGAGTTTGGGAGGGAAACTAAAGAGGACCCCACCCTCCAAAAGTACCGAGAGTTAGCAGACAGTAGAGGGGATGAGCGGGAGCGTTTTA